ATTATTATCTTTTCCTCCCAAGGATACATAATGGAAATGCCGAAATTCAAAAAGCTAGTACAGAATCAGCGAACTTCTTTGTATGGAGTCCGGTCAAATCCCGATGGCAGCCATGTTTGTTTTTATTATCAGAGGACGCTTACGCGCATTTCTTTATATGGTGGGGTGAAAAAAAACCGTAAAATACCGCAAAATTACGGCACGCTGTAACTTATGATGTTACGGTCACAGATGTATAATAAGGTCTGATATAGTCCAACAGCATTCTGATATTGTTTTGTGTGAGTACAAAACAACAACATATACAGTGACCTGCCCCATTTTATGTGTAGATTCGAGTTGAACCAGTTCTGATTGATTCGGGTTCAGTTGCAGACAACTTACAAAGAAAATAGTTATCCGGTGGTTTACCACTGACAGCGAGGTGTAGAGGCTTTGAACATAAATTTGCACAACAGCCGCCAGATAGCATGTGTAGTTAAAAAAATGAAATTCTTGTGACCAATTCATACATGTACAGTGCATATAAGTGACGAAATGCGCAAGAATGTAATTTATCAGCTGATCATCTTGAAATGTTCATGTGTGATGAGACAGTCATGTGTACGTATGTATAGAATAATATAGTCAGTATTAACGGGCACATATATTCAGTGTTGTTTCAGTGTGCCCGTCAGTGGTATGGGCTTACCCATTAATTATGTGGATGTAGTATATTTGAATACACCAGTTAAAACGTAACAATCTAGTTTGTACCTCAATGTTACTTGTAATATCAGTTACGACTGTTCCTGTGATGCTAAACGTGAATCATGAATCGCTATTCCAACCTACGGATAGGATATATGAACTAACTTTGATATTAACCGGCATTATAAATAGCTTTGAAATATAACTATAAAATGCATACATTCAGCGATTACATTGCACAGAATAATTCACGTTAAATGACCCAGGGCTATCAGCATTTGATTACACACATTTCGCGATTATGACGACAGAGTATTGTTATAGTATCCTTCTTTAGTCATTATAGGCCGATCATAAACGCTGATAAAAAATAGA